TCATCCTCATCATCGTGACACCATCAGCATTATCATCATCATCGTCATCATCATCATCAGCAGCATCATCATCATCGGGACACCATCATCCTCATATCATCATCATCATCGTCATCATCATCATCATCAGCAGCATCATCATCATCATCAGCATCACCATCATCATCATCAGCATCATCATCATCATCTCATCATCATCATCAACCATCAATCATCAATCATCATCAATCATCATCATCATCATCATCATCATCATCATCACCATCATCATCATCATCATCATCATCATCATCATCATTCATCATCATCATCGCGGGACACCGCGGGACACCGGCGGGACACCGCGGGGCACCGCGGGACACCGCGGGACACCGCGGGACACCGGCGGGACACCGCGGGCCACCGGCCGCCCGGGAGGCAATCATTTGGTCCGGCCGCGCCTCAGCCACACGGGACTTTCGCGGGACACCGGCGGGACACCGCGCGCCACCGGCCGCCCGGCGAGAATCATTTGGTCCGGCCGCGCCTCAGCCACAGGAGACTTTTTCTCGCCCGCCCACGCAGCTTCGCCTCGCCCGCCCGCACGGCACGCACGAACACGAAACCGAAATCGATTTCCCGGTAGGGGGGCTCTCCGTTCCACTTCGATCTCACCCCCTCACCTCCGATGACGATGCTGATGATGATGATGATGTGACGAGAACGAAGACGATAATGATGACGCCACTGGTGATTATGATAATGAGGATGCTGAGGATGATGATGATGCTGATGAGTATGATGATGATGGTGATGATGATAGTGATGCTGATGATTATGTTGCTGATGATGATGATGACGATGGTGATGGTGGTGATGATGATGATGACGATGGTGATGGTGGTGATGATGACGATGACGATGATGATGACGATGACGATGACGATGACGATGCTGATGATGATGCTGATGATGAGGATGCGGACGAGCATCAGGATAAGGATGATAATCAGGATGATGACGATGATGACGATGATGAGGAGGAGGAGAAGGAGGAGGCTAATGATGATGATGCGGATGAGGGCCTTCTGCCGGAGCGCCGGGCACCGCCATGAGACCAAAGCCGTCGCCACGGACGAGGGCCTGCCGTCACACCGTCGAGGCTCTAAAGCGGTGTTTCACCCGTTCATGTCTTCGGGTGATGATCCGGTTATGACTTCCAGCGTCCTGGAAACTCCGGACCAGCATGCGTTTTTTGAGTTAGGACTTCCCCGAAACCGTTTCGGTGGGCTTGCAGAAGACAAGCCGCGGCGCGAATTCAATACAAATGTTGGTGTCGATTGTTCCAGAGCCCCGCGGGTTCAAACATCACGACGTCGGGGGCTCTGGGCCTACCTTACGTTTTCGGGCAAACTTTTTCAAGAAACAGGCCAGACGTTTGTTGCATGCACCTCGACATTTAGCATCATCCATCCGTTCCTCCTCCCTCCCCCTGCCCGCGTCCGCCTCCTCGCCCCCTCTCACATCTTTCCCTCCTCCCCCTCCTCCCCCATCTTCCCCCCTCCCCTCCCTCTCCTCCTCCTCCGCTTCTTCTCCTCCCTCTTCCCCCGCTCCCCTTCCCCTTCCTCCTTCTCCCTATTCGTCTTTCTCCCTTCCCCCTCCTCCCCCCTCCCCTTCCCCCCTCTTCTCCCTCCTCCCTTTCCCTCTCCCTTCCCGTCCCATTTCGATCCCCCTCGCCTCCGGTCTGCCGTGCCCTGCTTTTATTTTCATGTTAACTGAGCATTTTTTTGTGAGGGGGGAGGCTCAAGCAAATCTTGTTGTTTCAGGGCTGTTCATGGGATCCCAGGGGTAATATGCTTGCAGTGAGTGCGTCGATGCGTTGCATCGGGCCGTGTGGATGCCATCGCCAACCCTCCATGGAAGACTTGGACCAGGTGCCTCTTTCGCCAGAACTGCAATCAAGGAGTTTGGGAGGGCAAGGCAATGGAGCGCAGCGGTGCAGCTGTTGCATGAGTCATTGCAGCTACGTGCGGACGTCGGTGCAGACCTGTACACGACGAGCATCAGCGCATGTGGAAACTGCAGGCAGTGGCAACAGGCACTGTTACTTGTCCATGAAATGTCTGAGGCGAGTGTGGAGCCAAACGTCATCTGTACTACCCCTTCTGGTCGATGCGCGTGCGAGATGCGCCCGCAGTGCGCCAGCTGCCCCCGACCGCCCAGAGCGCCGCGCCGCTCTCCGACGGCTCCCGAGAACCTCCAGATGGCTCCCGCACGGCCTCGGGCAGCTCGATGTCGCGCCGAGGCGCTCCAGAGCGCGCGAGGACGCCCGAAGGGAACCCGGACGGAGCTCCACGATAGCCCAGGGCGGTCCGCCGACGGGCCAGGTGCCATCGAAAACAGCCCAGCCGGACCCTGGTAACCGTCCCCCGAGACCTCCTCCTCTTCCTCCTCCTCCTCCTCCTCCTCCTCCTCCTCCTCTTAATTTTCCCAGGGTTTCCCCAGATTCTCCATGCTCTCGGACGTTTGGGGGCCACGGGCGGCCCCGGACGGCTGCAGGGCCAACCCGGATGGCCCCAAGACGGTCCCGGAGGCTCCGCCAAGTGCCCCAGGCCGGCTCCAGAGGGCCCGAAGGTTGCCCAAGAGAAGCCCAAGGCAGCCCCACAGAGCTCCTGGTGGCCCCCAAGATGGCCCCAAGAGGGCCCCGGGAGTCGCCCGACAAGCACCGAAGCGAGCTCCAAGACGGCCCGAGACTCCCAACATGGCCCCAGGACGGCCCAAGAGACCCCGGAGAGAGTCCCAAAACGGGCCCAGAGGACCCCTAGAGGCTCCGGAGAGACCCCCAGGAGACGGCTCGAAGAGGGGCCGAAGGGAGCCCAGACGACGCCCTTCTCGCAGCCCCCAATTGGCCAAGAACCCTCCAAGGACCACTTCCACATGCCCCAGAGTCTCCCAAGACACTCCGATGATTCCCGAGAAGCTCCCAAAGAGAGTGTCTCCAGCCACGGCACCCTCTCGCTCTCTCTCCCTTTCTCTCTATCGTTTTCTTTCACTCTCGCACCCTCAAAGGTTTCCAAGAAAGCTCCAGACCGCCACGCAGGCCCCAGTCCGCCCCGAGATGCCCCAGAGTCCCCCAAGAGACTCCGATAGTCGCCACCACGGAGCTCCCAAGAGTGGTCCCTGGACCACTCCGAGACGTCCCAGAGTCGCCCACACGACTCCGACGCTTGCCAAGAGACTCCGACAGTTCTCACAGAGCTCCCAAGAGCGGTCCCGGGAAGAGACACCCGCCATAGTTCCCATGGAGCTCCCACGAGCGATCCAAAGGCCACTCCGAGCTGGCCTAGAGTCACCCTCAAGACCTTCCTCCTAAGTCCGATTAGGGGTGGCAAGGGGGACCTTCTCCTCTGATCTCTTCCTCCTCTCCTCAGCGAGGCTCTGGCCGCTCAATGGAGCACCATAATGGCCCAAGGGGGCACCATAATTGTCCAAGGGGGCCCAGATGGCCCACGAGGGCACCCCAGCACGTCTAGCGCCCCCCCTTTTCTCCGATTAGGGGTAGCAATGGAGACCTTCTCCTTTTTTTTCTGCGTCGGCTTCCCCCTCTGGAAACCTGCACTTCCCCCCTCTACAGTAACGCTCTTCTCCTTCTCCTCCTCCTCCTCCTCCTCCTCCTCCTCCTCCTCCTCCTCCACCTCCGCCTCCTCCTGCAACAGGCTGCAGTGAGACTGGACTTCGGGAAGTATTCGATGCCACAATAACCCTCCAGGGACCACTCTGAGATAGCCCAGACCCTCCCAAGACACTCGAAGACAGCCTCCAGCCCCGGAGCCCAGAGCATGCAGCAAGCGCCGGAGCAAACCCACTTCGGGACCGACACCTTGACCTGCCAGCCGTGGATTCCGCACGGGTTCACACTCGTCAGCTACAGCGCTGGAGTCAGCGCGTGCGAGAAAGGAGGGCAGTGGTTGCAAGCTCTGTGGCTGCTCACAGAAATGCGGGAGGAGATGTTGGAACCCGACGTCATCTCCTCTGCAATGCTGGGTGTTGCGCGTCCGTGCTTGGCAAGCCTACCTTTGCCTCGAGGGGGGCAGAGCTGCCCGTCTGGCCCAAAGACGGCCCCAATCGTATCCCGAATGGACCCCTTGGACCGCCCCAAGAAGTTCCACGTGCTCTGCGAGGTTGCTCCATGATGCCTCGGGAGGCTGCCACGACGGCCCCCACATGCCCGAGGGGCAGTTAGATGGCCTCTGGAGAGCTCCACAGGGTCCCACGATGGATCTGCGTAGATGTCCTCCGCGAAGTAGAACACTGTAGAATCCGTTAGTTGATTTCCCCCAAGTGTTTCTGGAATTCCAGAGTTTCCATCAGGGGAAGGCTTCGACGTGGGATCCACAGGCTTCCGAAAGTGCCGGGAAGAGGTTCCAGCAAGGCCCCATACGCTCCTCAAGATGGCTCAAGCGCTTGCTCTGTCAGGCCTCTAAGACGGCCCCGAGGAGGCTCCATGATGGCCCACGGCCCGCCATTCTCTCAAGAGCTCCCTATACTGCTCCGACGCCTTCAAGACTGCCACCCAGAAGCCCCAGTTGACGCCCAGACAGCCCCAGGAGGGCCCAGGAGGGCCCAAAGAGAGCCCAAAGAGAGCCCAAGAGGGCCGCTCGCACGCCCCAAGCAGGACTCAATCTGACCCCCAGAGCGCCTCAGGATCTCGGTATGTGCAGGGTCGCCGCAGTGAGTGCAGAGCCCCCGAGCTCGTGATGCGAACACGATCCCCGAGTTTGTAAGTTAAGCTGCTGGTGCTAGCTGCACATGCTCTGTGTAAACATGCTCGGCTGCTAGCCCGTGCTTTTTTATATCCACAGGTACACACGAGTCAGCTACAGCGCTGGTATCAGCGCGTGCGGGAAAGGAGGACAGTGGCAGTGGGCTGTGTCGCTGCTCTGTGAAGCGTTGGATGCGAAGCTCCAGCCCGACGGCATTAGCTTCAGCGCTGGGATTAGCGCGTGCGCCAACGGCGAGGAATGGCAGCGGGCGCTGGCGCTACTCAGCGAAATGGTGGGCGCGAAGGTGGAGGCCAATTACATCAGCTACAGCGCTGGTATCTCCGCGTGCGAGAAAGGCGAGCAGTGGCAGCGGGCTTTGGCGTTGCTCAGCGCAATGTTGGAGGCGAAATTGGAGCCCGACGCTATCAGCTACAGCGCTGGTATCAGCGCGTGCGGGAAAGGTGGGCGGTGGCAGTACTCTCTGGCGCTACTCTGCGATATGTGGGAGGAGACAGTGGATGCGAACAGCATCTGCTACAGCGCTGGGATCAGCGCGTGTGGGAACGGCGAGCAGTGGCAGCAGGCTCTGGCATTACTCAGCGAAATGGTGGACGCAAAAGTAGAGCCCGACGTCATTTAATTTTCATGGCGCAGCTTCGCGAGTGAACGAGCTGTATTTAGAGGATCTGGTGGCCGCTCCGCTGGTCGACGAGATGTGTCGCCGCTTCGGTCCTGCCGATCTGGGCGCCCCTAGGCGCGCCAGAGCGTATGGGTGATTTCTCGCTTCCCTGGCCTCTCGCCCCAAGAATGCTTCAGGAGGACTCCACACGGCTCCGTGGTGCCCCAGCAAGCCGAGCCTCCAAGATGGCCCCCCAAGCGGCCCCAATTGTGCGTCAAGTGCTCCAAAAGCTTCCAGCACGGCCCCGAGACGGCTTCAAGGATGTCCCGCGGCGACCCCCAGAGCGGCTCCGCAGGCCCCACGACGGCCCAGGAGAGCCCCATGACGGCCTGATAAGGTCCCCAGAGGGCGCCACGCCAGCTCGAGAGGATGCCAGGCACGCCCCCCCCCCGGACGGTACTGGAGGGCCTCAGCATGCCCCCTTCTACGGCAGGTTCGCGTCGTGTCGACCGGCGGCTACCCCAGCGCGTGCGTTTAAGGTTGAACGCCGCCTGTGGCCCAGAATCGGCCCATCCTTGAACGATCCAGCCTTTTTGAAAGGGCCGATCGTTCAAGTTTGAACGATCCCCGCGGTGTCAGGAACCAACTCTGGGGTCGGCATGACGCGAACCTGCCGTACAGCTCAAGAGAGCCTCAGTGCGGCCACCAGGTCCAGTAGCCGCAGCGCCACCAGCAGGCCACAGCTCGGGGGAAGAAGCACACTGACCATGACCGATATGCCTTGGGAGCTTGTCGACGGCGATCGCGGTCCTGGTCCATGCTGGCCATCGCCGGTTCGCGAGGATAATCCAATCCACGGGTGGACGCTAACCAGGATGGACTGTGACCAACATCGTCACAGCGATTCTGCGTTCTATCCTAGTCATGGCCGATGCAGAGGGACTCGCGGGGCCAAGTTCCCGTCCGTCTCTCATACAAATTTACCCTACTCTCCACCTGTCGGCCGCAGATGGCCGCGAAAGGCCCCCAGAGAGCCTTCAAGGGGCCTCCAGGCCGAAACGAGTCCCCAGCAGGGCCCTTAACACTTCCAACATAGCCGAGGATGGCCGAGGCCCCAATACGACGAAGCCTTGCGAGGCCTCGCGGAACTCCAAGGGGGGCCAGATATGCTCCACGAGAGCGCACATTCTCGGAGCCGCTTGGACGCTTCTGAGATTGCCCAAAACGGTCAATGCAGGCTGTCACATTTACTCCAAGATGGCCCTCGGCGCCCCGAAGAAGGCCTTCAATCAATATTGCCCCCAGACGGTTCCAATATAGACACACATCGGCCCAAGACGGCCCCAAGAAGCTCAGATCTTGCGCGGGAAGACCCCACGAGAGCCCAACAAGGTCCCAGCATAACCTCAAGAGGTTCCGAAAGGGCTCCAACATTTGCGTCAAATGGCCTGAGGGAGCGACCCCGATGTATCTCCACTCGTCCCTTCCCCGAGGACTGCTGGAATACCCAGTAGTGCTCGGAAGCTCGTCGCAGCGACAGCCGCCGAGCAGCAGAAAGTACCAGCAGCACGTAGTGCCAGTTACACCGAAGCATGCGGCGTCAACATGTCAGGCAGCCAGGCAAGCAGTCTCGCAAGCGGGACTGCAAGTGGGCAGCCCGGTAGACAAGTGGTCCTCTTCCCTCCGTGCAGCCTGGAAGCTCTCCTGGCCACCGCGGTGATTCAGAGCAGACCAGGCCGCTTGCCCTGGATTTAATAACACTGGTTCGCTTTGTATTCTAATTTGGTCTCGCTCGGACGTGTGCATGTTTCCTTCGGCGAGGACCATCGAGGAGCATCCTTGATCATTTGGCGAAAATGCCACGCACGAAACCAAAAAACACAGGGAATGGACGTCCGAGCGATGGCCAGACAATACCGGGCTCAGCGCGTACCAGGAGGAGCGCCCGCCGGGCCCGCGGCGTCGGCGCCTCCGCGACCCCGCTCGTGGAGCGACGCCGTCCTGGCCTGGGAGAGCCCCGCGAGTGCCCCGGAAGGCCCCCAGAGAGCTCCTCTGCAGCGCAAAGAGGCCTCCCAGACGGCTCAGGAAGGCCCCCGCCAGGCTCCACGAGGCTCCCGGATGGCCTCCAAGAGGGCCACGAGGAGGTACAGCTATCCATATGATCTAGGTTGTTTCCACTTCCTCTTGCGATCGCTTCTCTGGTCACATGGCGACCAGCCCGCCCCGAGGAGCCTCCAGATTCCTCCGGAGGGCGCCTAGGGAACTCCCAAATGAGCCCCCACGTCGGCTCCGGAGACCCTCCAGCCCACTGTGGGGACCGCCACGGCCGAACATCCCACCAAGACGGCCCCAAGGGAGGCCCCACAGGGCCAACTGCCCCTCCTGCCCCTCCCGTTGCTGTCAGGAATCCCCCCAGAGGCTCACCAGAGGCTCCCAGACGGCCTCCGGAACATTCTCCAGGGGCTCCCGGGAAAGCCTCCAGCAGCTTCCTCGAGACGGCTCTCGCATGATCCTAGAAGGCCCCAGACCATCGAAAAAGCGATGCCTGCGGGCTCTCGGAAGGCTTCAGCAGCACCCTCCAAATTGCCCAGGTAGGCTCCTAGAAGCACCAGGTGATGGGAGAAAGCCACATCCCACACCTCTTGGGACACCTCTCGCACGGGAGGGGGTGCAGAAAGTAGCTGTCCGATGCAACTGCGGCCACCTGGGAACGCTCTTTTTGCAACCACTCCCGCACCGAGTGTGTCTCAAGAGGTGTGGGGTGTATGCGGTTGTTTCCAATCATCTTGGGCCTCCTCCTTCCTCTCTACTTTGTCGCCCTCCTCCGCCACAGGCGTTCCTGCCCGTGGAGTCGGAGCCGTACGATTTCCCGAAGGGGGAAGAGGAGGACGAGAAGGAGGAGGAGGAGGAGGAGGATCAGGAGGAGCAGGAGGACGATGATGAGGACGAGGAGGACGATGATGATGCTGCTGCTGATGATTAGGAGGAGGACGATGATGCTGCTGATGATGATTATGATGACTATGATTATGATGATGATGCTGATGATGATGGTGATTATGATGCTGATGCTGATTATGCTAATGGTGATTATGATGATGATGATGACGATGATGATGAGCAGGAGGACGAGGATGAGGACGAGGAGGACGATGATGGTGATGATGATGCTGATGATGATGATGAGTATGATGATGGTGGTGGTGATGATGAGGTTGATGATGATGATGATGATGATGATGATGATGATGATGATGATGATGATGATGATGATGTTGATGATGCTGATGTTGATGCTGATGTTGATGACGACGGTGATGATGCTGCTGCTGCTGATGATGATGATGATGAGGAGGAGGATGATGATGATGGTGATGATGATGCTGATGATGACTAGGAGTAGGAGAAGGAGGAGGAGGAGCACGAGCAGGAGGACGAGGACGGGCCAGGCACGTGTACGAGCAGGAGGAGGAGGAGGAGAAGGCGGATGACGAGGGCGAGCCAAGCACAAGGAGGAAGTGGGCGAGGAGGAGGAGGAGGAGGAGGAGGAGGAGGAGGAGGTGCAGTTGGAGGAGGAGGAAGTGGAGCTGGCGCTGTTGCTTCTACTCAAGCCCCTTGATGTGCTACCGCTGATACTGCTAGCGCTGCTCTGGACGCCGTCAGACTCGACGAGCAAACACCACACCCGGAAGCTATGAGCAGCAGCGGGGGCACTCTGACCGCTGGCGCTCGTGGACGGTAGTCCACGGGTCAGCTCTAGTCGCTTACAATGCTGGGATCAGCGCGTGCCAAAAAGGCGCGCAGTGGCAGCAGGCTTTCCTCCTGCTCAGCGATATGTGGGAGGCGAAATTGGAGCCCAACATCATCAGCTACAATGCTGGGATCAGCGCGTGCGAGAAGGCCAAGCAATGGCAGCAGGTTTTCCTGCTGCTCAGTGAGATGTGGAAAGCGAAATTGGATCCGGACGTCATCAGCTACTCCGCTGGGATCAGCGCGTGCGAGAAAGGCGAGCAGTGGGAGAGGGCCGTGTCGCTGCTCAGCGAGATGTGGGAGGCGAAGCTGGCACCCGAAGTGATCAGCTACAACGCTGGGATCAGCGCGTGCGAGAAATGTGGAGCGTGGCAGCAGGTACTTCTGCTGTTCAGCCAGATGTTTGAGGCGAAGTTGGAGGCTGATGGCATCTCTCCCGTCTGCCGTGCGGGGCGCAGCGCGTGCGAGGCCTGTGTCGAAGTCGTGTGGGCCAAGATCGGCCTCGCGAGCCCGGCGCGCCACCAAGACGTCCGCAGATGGCCCAGTGGAGTCCGTTGAGGGCCCCTTGCGGTCAACGTGCCCAGACATGCGACGTCCTGTTTTTTCATTGCAGGGTCCCTTGAAGTCCAGACCCTTTCCCAGGGCTTGTTTTTCATTGAGAGTCGTTTTTGTTTGCCAGCCACGGGGCGAGCCGAGGGCCCCGAGAGTCAGCAAACGGGCAAACACCGTGTGTCGTGATGATCTTTTTCGACGCGAGCATGGTTGGCTTCAGGAGGCGCCCACGACTGCTAAACAGATTTCCAAGGCAGCCCAAGAGGGCGTTAACGTGGCGCCAGTGTGGCCCCAAGAGTCTCAAAGTTGGGTCCGTACTGGGCCCCAGGGAGTCGAATATCGCTACATCCCTGAAGATGGTTGTCCATATCGAGGGCTGGACCTAAACGGTGTTTTGGCGATTTCCTGGGCCGTTTTCGTTTCGACTTCGTTTTGCGGTAGAGGTGGATTGAAGACAAAACGAGGGAACATGAAAAGACATGACAACGAAAAACAGCGTTTGGGTTCAGCCCTGTCCATATCTATGGCTCACTGCGCACTTTGGCGACCGATGTCGAGGTATAGCATACTGCATAAACATACTTTCCTGGAGCTCCGCGCGGACTTCCTGGATCGGCGCTGGGCCCCCCTGCTCCTCCCGCCAGGGACGCAGATTCAAGAAATCCGCGCGGACCTCTGCGAAATGTTGTTTACAAGCTGGTCGTTGAAAGTAGATACTTTGGGATCCCCAGATCCCAATCTACTTCAAGCGCCTTCCTATTTCAAGAATCGGCACGATGTTGCTGTGCTTTTCCCAACCAACCTGTGTTGTTGGGTCCTCGTTTTGAAAAGACGGTCCCCGCGTCACCTCCTCCTCCCGCTGCCCCCTCCCCCCTCCTCCCTCCTCCTCCCTCCTCCCCCTCTTCCCTGCGTTTCACCCACCCTGTACAGCGCTTCGTAGCCCCATAGGGAGCTCCACCGAAGGCCCCAGTGCCACAGTCCACATGCGTCCCCCCCACTCAGTACAGCGTTCCGTGGCCCCATAGGGAGCTCCAGCGAAGGCCCCAGTGCCACCGTCCACATGCGCCCCCCCCACTCAGTACATCGTTTCGTGGCCCCATAGGGAGCTCCAGCGAAGGCCCCAGTGCCACCGTCCACATGCGTCCCCCCCACTCAGTACAGCGTTTCGTGGCCCCATAGGGAGCTCCAGCGAAGGCCCCAGTGCCACCGTCCACATGCGTCCCCCCCACTCAGTACAGCGTTGTGTGGCCCCATAGGGAGCTCCAGCGAAGGCCCCAGTGCCACCGTCCACATGCGTGCCCCCCACTCAGTACAGCGTTTCGTGGCCCCAAAGGGAGCTCCAGCGAAGGCCCCAGTGCCACCGTCCACATCCACTCAGAAGGCCCCATAGGGTCCAGCGAAGGCCCCAGTGCCCGTCCACATGCGTCCCCCCCACTCAGTACAGCGTTTCGTGGCCCCATAGGGAGCTCCACCGAAGGCCCCAGTGCCACCGTCCACATGCGTCCCCCCCACTCAGTACAGCGTTGTGTGACCCCATAGGGAGCTCCAGCGAAGGCCCCCGTGCCACCGTCCACATGCGTCCCCCCCACTCACTACAGCGTTTCGTGGCCCCATAGGGTGCTCCACCGAAGGCACCAGTGGGACCGTTCGAGTGCGTCCTGAAACACCCAATTTGGCATTTTCACCCACCCAGTGCTGCGTTTCGTGGCCCCACAGGGAGCTCCACCGAAGGCCCCAGTGCCACCGTCCGCATGCGACCCGCACACCCAATGTGGCATTTTCACCAACCCAGTGCTGCGTTTCGTGGCCCCAAAGGGAGCTCCACCGAAGGCCCCAGTGGGACCGTCCGCAAGCGTCCCGAAACACCCATTGTAGATTTTCACCCACCCACTCCAGAATCTCGTGGCCCCGTGGCCCCAGTGCCACCGTCCGCATGCGTCCCGAAAACCAAACGTGGCATTTTTACACACCCAATGCAGCGTTTCGTGGCCCCTTAGTGAGCTCCACCGAAGGCCCCAGTGCCACCGTCCACATACGTCCCCGAAGCCCATTTGGCATTTTCACCCACCCAGTACAACGTTTCGTGGCCCCATAGGGAGTTCCACCGAAGCCTCCAGTGGGACCGTCCGCATGCGCCCCGGAAGCCCAATTTGGCAGTTTCACTTGCCCAGTACAGCGTTTCGTGGCCTCATAGGGAGCTCCACCGAAGCCCCCAGTGGAACCGTCCGCATGCGTCCCGGAAACCTTACTTCACACACCACTCACCCAGGACAGCGTTCCCCCCCACCCAGTGCAGGGCTTCATGGCCCCGAGGGGAGTTTCACCGAAGAAGATTTTCACAATTGCGGTGCCCACAACTGCATATGGTTGGGTCCTTCGCCAGGATAATGTTATTCTCTGGGGGGCGCCTGGACCCAATCAACTTAATCCGCCTTCCTACTTCATGTTTCTACCTGCTTCTTCCGACCGATGGGTATGCAGTTTTCTGCACCGCGCAGGAATGTCTCTAGAGCCTTCTCAGACCTCGAGATCCGACGCTGCGAAACATAGCAACATCGTGAGAAATCGCGACCACACCCGTAGACATCATCTTTCTGCTGCATTCTTCTGGCTGGATCGATCTCTGGTGCAGTCGAGGTTGAGTAGTAGGTCGACCCTGGCAATCAAGGGTACCCTTGTGTCCTGTGTTTCGCGACCAGTGCCTTCTTACATTCCTCTGGCAATGTGGCCTTCGGAAGGGCCCTGTGTCAACCCCGACTGTGGCCCAGAGGCTCGAAGTTTGGCGAAAACGCTCGGCGTTAGAAATCGAAACGCCCGGAGCGGAGGGGAGCCCTCAAGACGCCCTGGGTGTTCGTAGATCAGACGTCAGACGGCTCCAGCGTGCCCAAGGCCTGGTCCGACGACGCCCCCAGGCGGCCTCGAGGCCTCGCAGAAGGGCCCCGCGGGGCATCCGGGAAGCACAGGATGGCCCAGAGAGGCCCCACAAGGCTCCAGTAAGAGTAAGTCGGGCATGTCCCTCTACAGGGGGAATATTCAAAAACAGTACAAGAATAGTCTGTGGATGATTTTTCGATTTTGTTTTGTCAATTTTGGTGCATTTTTTTGTTCGTCCTGCATACGCCTGTAGTGGGACATGCCCGACCTAACAGTAAGGGCTTCCCTTCTTCTCCCCGCAGTTCGCGCGATTTTCATGCTTAGCTTGCTGGCACCTTGCGCTATCTGCCCCTCCCCGCCTGCTCGCGGCTCGGGCCCGCCCCTGCGAACGCGCACGGGGTGTGTGGTGCTGGCTCCGAGGTCGTATTTTGGGCCTTTCCTTGATTCTTCACCCCTCCTAGGAGCTCCTCCTCCCTTTCTTCACTTCTCCCTCCAGGACAGCAACCGTCCACGTTTAGAGGCCGGGTCTCGTGTTACCTCCTCTCTCTCCTTCGCGTCCTGCCCTCCTCCTTTTCCTCCTTCTCCTCCTCCTCTTCCTCCTCCTCCTCCTCCTCCTCCTCCTCCTCCTCCTCCTCCTCCTCCTCCTCCTCCTCCTCCCCCTCTCGTCCACTCCCCCCCACTCCGACTCCTGCAACGCCTGCTTCTTTTCCGCCTCCGGCAAGGACCTCTGAGGGCTCCCTTCTTTGTCGTCCCACGGCGGATCCAGATGGACCATCTTGAGCGAATTCGTTCTCGCTCGATTGGTAAGCGTTGGCCGTCCAGCTCGGTCTGTGCGGCGTGTGCCTGGGGCCAGGGCGTGCGTACCGTTTGGGTTCGAATGCTCTGACCTCTCCGCCGGTGCTTTGGTAGCACACCGCCAAATGATGTTGACGTGGTGATCGATGGGGCATGTGATCTAGAAAATCAGGACCCCTGTAAGGACCTCGCATGGCCCCCCAGGCTGACAGAACGTGCAACATGCTTCCAATATCTGTCCACATGGGCCCTAAGACGTCCTCAGGGGAGCCTAGTATCGACGACGCATGCTGGATCGAGACAACTTTCGCGGGCGGTAGCCCATCTGCATCCACGCTGGGCAACTACAGGGTTGGTAACTCGCGCGTGCGAACATGCCGAGAAAGCATTTGGGCGATGCAGCATGACGGCATCGATCTACACGTGGAAGGAGCAAAGCACGCCCGTGACCAGAGTGCACGCGGAAGGGGCCAGGGTCGCCCGTGGCGCTTTCCTCATGGCCAGAAGACGAGCCTCTGACTGTGCCGCTGCGCGGACGCTCGTGCGTAGGGTGCCCGTGAGCAGCGCGCGCTGCAGCTGCCTCTCTGCCGCCGGCGTCTCCCTCCCGCGCCTGGGGCCCGCTTGCTGCGCCGCCGCGCGTGGTCGCGCTGCGGCCCGAGCGCCGACACGAAGCCATGCTTCGCTCGGATCGGAGGTCGGGGAGCCTTTTCCGTGGCCCTGTCCACCTGGCCCGACCCGCCCGTTAGAGCCCGCCCGACCCGCCCGCCCGAGCCGACCCGCCCGTTAGGGTGCACGCGTGCCAACTCGATGATGCATTTTACTTGAATGTCCCGCCCGCCCGACCCGACCCGTTATAGCCCGCCCGATCCGACCCGCCCGCCCGGCCCGCTCCGACCCGCCCGCCCGACCCGACCCGCCCGGCAGAGCACGCGCGTGCCAACTCGATTCGCTCGCCTGTGCTCATACTTTCAGGTTCCGCCCGACCCGACCCGACCCGTGGAGCCTCTTCCATGGCCGAGGCTCGCCGTGGCCAGACAAACGCCATTCGTTCCTCGCTTGGCGCACCTGGCCATGGCGCGATGGCCGTGAGCCCTCTCGAGAAAGACACTTCTCGGCGTCACCCAGACATACGTATACATACTACGTGTGCGTCGGCCCCCACCCCCCAGCGGCGACGCGCGCGCTCAGAAACATTGCCTCGTAGTATATATGCTCGGTGGCGGGCGCTTTCTGGCCCTGCCGCCTGGGCAACGACATGCTACGTAGCATGTTTGTGCCGCCGCTTCGGACGGTTGCCTCCAAGGGGGGCGCGCAGTACCAGCACGTCCTTCCTTGCCGCTCAGCCGCCCTGGCCCCCGGGGGGGGGCCGTTCCCCTCCGAGCTCGGGCAGGGGGAGCTCTCTCCCCGAGGCGGCGGCGCTCCCGGCCCCGACCTGCTGCAGCGCGAGCGGCGCCTCCGCGGGCCAGCTCGGGGTTCGGCGGCATCCAGTCGGCCGCGCTTCGGTGCTCCGCCCAGCGGCCCGTGTGGGCGCACGGGACCAGCCTGGCAGCCCAGACACAGCGACCGATCTTGAATCCTTCCCCGGTCGCTGCCTCCGCCTGGCCCTGCAGCGCGCCTGGCGGAGCCGCGCAGCCATCGGTCAGGGCACGGGCGAGTGGCTCTGGGGCGTCGGCCCGCGGCGCCCGGACGGGAGCCGCCTCGCGCGCAGAGACCCGCGGACGTCATCTCTAGCAGCAGCGCCTGCACGGTGGAGGCGGCCGCACAGCGGTGCAGTGTCCACGTCGGCCTGCGGGCATCGGCGGGCGGCGCCTACGGGCCGGGGCGAGGCCGGGGGACTTGCGGCGCGCGGAGCGCGCCGCCGCCGTTAGTCACGCGGTGGTCGATGTTTCGGCCGCGTGCGCTTCAGGAGTCTCCGCCCTGTCGCCCAGGACAAGCCTGGGGGTAGGCGGCAGGCTCGTTTTCGCCGCCGTTGTGCGTGTTTCGCATCCTCGGAGGTCAGGCCAGCAGAATCCATGTGCAGGGGGGCGCTCCGCCCCGACCTCCTGGCGCCGCGTCGCCAACAAAATCACGACTGGAGCTCTCGGAGCGTGTTCGGCCTCTGGTGGAGGGGGGGGCCCTCGGTGGGCCCCTGGAGGGGGTCCAGACCTCTGGGTCGATGGTCCCTACGAAACTCGAGGGGAACAAGCATATTTCCCCACCTAGGTGGGTAAGTCGGTCCTCGGTGCCACGGCCGCGCCAGTGGGGACAGGGGTCGGTTACGCAATGCTCAGCTCCTTTCCCCCCCAAGCCCCGCGAGCCGGCGCTCGAGGAGGTATCCTCGAGAGTTCTCGGGAGTGCTGTGGAGCTAGCTTGGGGCTGTTGCCCCTTGCCTCAGGCACGGGGGCAGCAATTTGGAGGAATTTCCCTTTCCCCCGACCCCGCCCTTCGGCCCTTTCCTAGGGGGGCCCTCCTTGGAGTCTTCGTTCGCTTCGTCGTCGCATACTCTTTCGATTCCGACAGTCTGATGTTGGGATGCTTGCGCCACGTGACGTTTCGCCGGGTGCCTGAACAGTTTCGAGGACTCGATAGTTCCAATACTGTCAATGAGTTCGATGAAGTGTCGGCGACTTCACGAGCCAGCGCAAATCAATCGACGATGACTCCCAACTAGCCATGGCATTGTCCCTGCTGGCCACCCTGCTCTTCCTTGCCCCCACCACCAGAGCATTCCACGGCGGTTCCCGACTTACTCTGCATGGCTCTTTCAGCCTTCAGGATGTCACAGGATGCACGCGGGAAGCTCCGCAAGTTTGTTCTTTGTGCCGCAATCCCCAGGTTCAGACCAGCCTCTCTCATCTTCGTTCTCGCGCGCCCGCCTGATATGTTCTGCCCATCCAGCTGCCTGCGGCAAACTCAGCCACCGTGCCGGCGCAGCATCGCAGCAGCGCAGCAGGGAGGAGGCTACGTCGAAGACCCATACCAGTTCAGCGCCCTGTCGAAACTGGTGTAGACCTTCAGGACCTCCTCTTTGGTCTCGGCACCGTTCTCTTCCTCCTTCGTCCTTCGTCCTTGACCTTTCTTCTCCCCTCTCCTCCCTCGTGGTGCCGTGATGCTGGGAACTTCTCGGGGGCTTTTCTCAGGCATAACGGGAACAGTTTTGGGCCCTGTTTGGCTGGGAGCTTCTACTGAGCCTGTTGCACGGCCGTCGTGGGCTTCGGCGCCGTCGCAGGCGCGATGCTGCCGAGGTCTCTTGACACGGTTCAGGCAGGTTTTTGGGGCCGCCTTGGAGGCGGAAGCTGGCGGGTGTGAAACGAGGGCGGCTCCGCCGGCGGAGGCCAGCGGAAGCATGCATCGCCCGCCGAAGAGATGGCGATGTGTCTTTGCTCCAGATCTCGGGAACGTGTCATGTGGGATATTTGAAAGGTTGTTTGGCGTGTCGTGTACTGTTGCAAGGCATATGGCAGCCATCTTGGGGCATCATTGGGCTGTGTCGGGGCCACCTTGCGGCCGACCGAGAGGGGCGCCCGCGAGCGAAGCTATGGGGATGCGCGGGGGGGGGATCGGCAGTGGGGTGGTTTGGTAGCGGTGGTTGCTTCGAGGATGGGGGCGCCCTGTGAGAACCAACAGGCGGTTGGTCACCCCACTGCTGTGCAGCCAAATCTGGCGATCCGTGGACGCAGGTGCCAGTTGTCGACAATTTGTCTGTGCACCTGGCCTCTTCGACGGTCTGACGACAAAGACCTCCGACGGCGGCCTGCCTCCTGCACCGCTCCAGGCAGGCATCGTGACAGACGAGGAGTATTCCGCAGCACGGCTTCGATGGAAGCCACGTTGCCAATGGATGGTAGTCCACGGGCCCACCTTAGTCAGCTACAACGCCGGGATAAGCGCGTTTGGGAAAGGCGGGCAGTGGCAGCGGGCGATTGCGCTGCTCAGAGAGATGTTGGAGGCGACGGTGGAGGCTCACATCATCGCTACTACATTGCAGGCATACGCGCGTGCGAGAGGAGCGGGGGTCGGGGCGAGGGGTTCCGGCGCCCCGGCGACCCCTCCGGGCTCGTGCGAGCCCCAGCAGGCCCCGGCGCGCTTCCATGAGGCACGTTCCGAGACGACCCCGGGGCCCTCCAAGAGCAGCCCAAGACGGTCCAAGAGGGCCTCCGAGGCGGTCCAAGAGCGCTCGCAGACGCCCACGATAGCCCCCAGACGGCCCCAGAGGCTCCCAAAACTTTCCAAGTGGGCTCCAGGAAGAGTCCCGAGAGAGCCCGCACAAGCAAAAATCGTCCCAATCCCTAGGGGAAACGTGCATTTTCGCAATTCCCACGCTTTTCGTTTTCAAAGCGCCCAAGAGGACAATTCACGCCTCCAAGATCGCCCCAGGACGCTTTAGGAGCGCCCCATGAGGGCCCCGAGACGGCACAAGATGGCTCCAGGACGGCCTAAGACGGCCCCAAGAACGCTCCTGAGGCGCCCACGACGGCCCAAGGGTCATCCAATGCAGCCCCAAGAGCGGCCAAAGACGGCCCGAGACGGCCTCAAGACGGCCCCAAGCCGACCCCAGATGCGTCCAAGACGGCCTCAGACGGCCCCAATACGGCCCAAGGAGTACCCAAGACGGCCCAAGAGGCCGCCCAGGTGGTGGACACAGTGAGGATGCCGGATTGCGCCCAGGCTCGGGGCGGACGAAATCAGCGCAGGCCGAAGTGAAACACCGACAGTTTGCCTTCGGAGGGCTCCGTGCCGCCACGGCTGGACGCAGCGGAAAACACCTGTGCGTTTCGACCGTGGCAAGGGTCTGGAGACCCATTTTGACCAGATGTTGCATCGTCCGCGTCTTAACCCTGCCTGCTCCGAGTCACACTCAACGCGTGGAGAAACACATTCATGCATTTGATTCTGAAGGGGCTCCCGTCTCTGGGCCTTTCCTTGGGTCAGCGCTGGGGGCCCGTCTCATGTTCGAGGTCGGCCCTCGCCCCAAAAACATCTTTCCTTACAGCGGAGACCCATGCCAAGGAACACCCTGCTTGCCTCCAGGGTGCTCTGGGTTTCGATGGTTTTGCTGTGGAAGGCGTGACGTTCCCACACCCGACATCAATAGACGTCCTGGGGTCTCAGGGTTGGGTTTCTTGAGCAAGGTTTCTTGTGGACTGGCCTCCGCTGTAGCCTCGGTTCTCTGTGGCAAGAAGTCAGTAGTACGAAGCCTGGTCCGTGCACCTGGTGTCGTCCCCCGCCACCTGGTGCATTCCTCGGTGCGCGTTCGCATCCGGCTCCTGGAGGCGCTGGAAAACCTAGATTCCCAGAACTCTCCTCTCCTATTTTTAGAGAGTCGAAGGCGAGATGAGAATTTGTTTTCCTCCAGGACGACCGCAACCCTCCCTTCTCATGTCTCAGGCCGAAAAGAAGCCCCGAGAGGCCCCCGCACGGCCCCCAAGAGGCCCTGCTGCTGAAGGGGCTGACCGCCACGTGGATAGCCTTTCGGCAGCATTCCCGCCGCTCCCCCGAGAATACCCTCGGCCACACGTCGTGGACGGAGTCCACGAGTCAGCCCTAATCAGCTATACCGCTGAGTCAGCGTGTGCGAGAAGGGCGAGCAGTGGCAGCAGGCTCTGGCGCTGATCAGCGAGATCTGATCGGCGCTGATCAGCGAGATGTTGACGCTGATTAGCGTGATCAGTGTGATCAGCTGATCAACGCCGTCATCTCTACAATGCCAGGGGCGCCGGGTGCCAGAAACATTCCAGGATCAGGTGATTTAAAGTCGGGCCGGCAGGCCCCAGCGTGCTCTTGGGCGCCCCGCGGGAGTTCCAAGACCGCCCAAGAGGGTCCCAAGACGTTCCAAAAGCAGCTGTGGACCGCCCAAGAGGGCTCCAAGACGGCTCCAGATAGTTCCAAGAAAACACGAGGAAGCCACACGGCGGCCCAAGAGGGCCTCCCGATGGTCCGCTTCCCAAGACGGCTCAAAGGGGACCCTTGACAGCGCCTTCAGGAGCAACAAATATTCAATTCTATGTGTTCAACGTTCTTTTCGCATGCCCGCTTCTTCAGGCCTCGGGGCGCTCAGGGCGGCCAACAAAGCCCTAGACGGTTGGGCCCCCGAGGGGCCCCAAGACGGCCCCAAGACGGCCCAACAGAGTTCCAGGACGGCCTAACAGAGCTTCCAGAAGGCCCAAGAGGCCGCCAAGATGGCCTCAAGACAGACGGGCCCAAGGCTGCCCTCCACCCCGAACGTCCCCAGACCCACTCAAAGCAACTGCTGGTGGCCCCAAGAGCCGCCCGGATGGCTCCAGGATGCTTGGGGCCCCATGCCACAGAAGCCCCACAGAAGGCCCCAAGACGGACACAAGAGACCCCAAGAGACCCCCGAGAGGCCTCCCGAGAGGCCTCCCCTTACGAGGCCCCAGAAGACCCCCAAGAGGTCGCTCCCCCCTCCCTCCTCCTCCCTCCTCGGCTGTCCCTCCTCCCTCCTCGCCCCTCTTTCCTCCGTCGTCCCTCCTCCTCCTCGGCTCTCCCTCCTCCCTCCTCGCCCCTCTTCCCTCGGTCGTCCCTCCTCCCTCCTCGGCTCTCCCTCCTCCCTCCTCGCCCCTCTTCCCTCGGTCGCCCCTCCTCCCTCCTCGCTCTTCGCCCTGCGCTGATCGCTCCTCGCTTCTCCCCCCCTCGTTCCTCGATCCCCTCGGTCATGGTTCCCCGATCCTCTCCTGGCAGCGCTCTCTCTCTCTTTTTTTTTTTTGTTTTTTTTTTTCTCTCTCTCTCTCTCTCTCGGAGGAGGAGGAGGAGGAGGAGGAGGAGGAGGAGGAGGAGGACAAGGAGGAGGAGGAGGAGGACGAGGAGGAGGAGGACGAGGAGGAGGAGCAAGCTGACGCAGCGAGAAAGATGACCCTGCAGCATTGAGCACCAGCAGCGAACGGCAGCAGCGCGCAGCGTGAAGCAGGCAGCAGCGGCAACGCACAACAGCAAACAACAGCATGCAGCAGCAGGTGGCAGCACGCACCAAATAGAACTGGCCATCAGCAGCACGCTGCAGACACTAGCAGCAACAGCAGTACGAAGCGGCGGGGCAACAGTGGCAGCAAGCAGCAGCACGCAGTAGCATGCCCGGAATATGAGGGTCGAGCCCCGCGCAATCATTTCAGCCTTTCGGAAGCAAGTCCACAATCACATGTCTGTTCGTGTAGATCTCGTGGACGTAGTCCACGGTTCAGACCTAGTCAGCTACAGCGCTGGGATCAGCGCGTGTGGGAAAGGCGGGCAGTGGGAACATGCTCTCGTTTTGATTAGCGAGGTGCGCGAGGCGAAGTTGAAGCCTGATGTCATGATGTCTACGTTTTAGAGCCCCCCACGTGCGTGCGGGGAAGTCACTGTCTCGAGTTCCTCCTGGATCCCCAGCAGCAGCAGCAGCAGCAGCAGCAGCTCAGACGGTCCAGAGGCTCCCGATCGTCTTGGTCTGGGGGGGGTTCACCCACCCCCAAGGCGTCAAGCAGGGGAGCTCGCCCGAGAGCCCCGCTGGTCTCTGGAACGCCGCTGGATACACTCTATTCGAGAGCGAGTTTCTTTGGGCCCCCCGACGTGCGGGGGGTCGTGAATACTCACGGGTGCATAGTGCATTCGAGAGTCGGGTCCCCACTTTTGATATGCTGCTGTTCCACCGTGTCTCGGTCCAGAACACACCAGAGCGCGCACCAGAGCCTCATTGCGAGTCACGCTCCGTCCACCGAACTCTCGGGGAGCTTCAAGATTCAAGACGTTCCCAGGACGTGTCTTAGATTGCCTCCGATCCGCGCTGGATGTTGCCTCGACCATTCTGAGGGCCCCTGGGGGGAAGGGAAATTTCCGCAGGAACGGACCCTTCCCAGGGATCTTTCTGGGATCTCGAGGGCGTCTCAGACTGACGTCTCGAAGGGGGGCGGCGGGTTCCCCGAGCCACCAGTCAGGGGAGAATCCCACGAGCCTTAATCCGTTTTTTCTGTTCCCGGTCCTCGCACAGCCACGCTGCACCAACCCGGCAGGGCCTGCATGTATGTATGTATGCATGCATGTATGGATAGATGTTTGGATGTATGGATGTGTGTGCATATGTGTATGTATGCATGCATTCATGCATGCATGCAGGAGTGCATACATGTATGTACCCATGCATGTTTGTATGTGTGTATGTTCGTATGTATGTATGTATGTATGTATGCATGCACGCATGCATGCATGCATGTACGTATGCATGTATGTATGTATGTACGTATGTACGTACGTATGTATGTATGTATGTATGTATGTGCGCATGTGTGTTTGTATGTATGTCTGTCTCTATGTCTGTATTTATGTATGCATGTATGTATGTATGCATGTATGTGTGCATGTGTGTATGTATGTATGTATGTATGTATGTATGTATGTATGTATGTATGTATGTATGTATGTATGTATGTATGTGTGTATTCATGTATGTATGTATGCATGTACGTGCGTATGTGTGTCTGTCTGTCTGTATGTATGCATGTAAATGTGCATCTATTTGCGGGTGTATGTATGCCTGTTTGTATGTATGTGTGTATGCATGTATGTATGCACACATTCATGTATACATGGATGTACGAATGTGTGTACGTGTATACGTGCGTGTATGGATATATATATATATATATATATATATGCGTGCACGTATGGATGTATGTATGTATGTATGTATGTATGTATGTATGTATGTGTGTATATTTATGTAATTGTGTATGTATGTATGTATGTATAGGTGTGTGTATTGAGTATATGTATGTGTGTATGTATCTATGTGTGTAGGTATGCACAGGTGTATGTATGTATGCATGCATGCATGGTTGTATGTATGCCTGTGTGTATGTCTGTTTACATGTTTGTTTGTATGCATGCAGGTATGTATGTATGTATGTGTGTATGTATGTATGTATGTAGGTATGTATGTATGTATGTGTATACGCATGTATGTATGTATGCATGCATGCATTTATGTATGCATGTGTGCATGTATGCATGTCTGTCTGTCTGCCTGTCTGTCTGTCTGTCTGTCTGTCTGTCGGTATGTCTGTATGTCTGTATGTGTGTATGTATGTATGTATGTATGTATGTATGTACGTATGTACGTATGTACGTGTGTATGCATTTATGTGTGCATGCATGCATGTATGTATGTGCATATACACATGTATGTATGTATGTATGTATGTATGTATGTATGTGTGTATGTATGTATGTACGTATGTATGTATATGTATGTATGCATGTCGGTATGCATGTACGCACATATACATACATGTATACACCTTTACATCCAACAAAACATGTAAACAAAGCGCCCCCCTCACCCGTGAGCGTCCCACACCTCTGGAACATCTGGGGGCAACTCCCGGTACTGCGCCCCTGGGTCTCCCAGTGAGGCCCCGAAACGACCCAGGACGGCCCAAGACGCCCCCAAGGAGCATCCCAGAATGCAAAAGGACGGCCCAATACGCTCCCAAGCAGCCCAAGACAGAGTTCCGACTGCTCTCCAGGCTCCCAGAAGGTCTCCCCCCGAAGAGGCCAACATCGTTGGTTGTCATGTTTTTTCCCAACCATCCTGTGGTGTTGGGTCCTCGTTTTGAAGAGACGGTGCCCCGCGTCTCCTCTCCTTCCTTCCTCCTCCTCCGCCTCCTCCCCCCTCCCTCCTCCCTCCTCCCACTATCACGGCACACCCCTCACACGTTTCGTGGCCCCATAGGGAGCTCCACCGAAGGCCCCAGTGGCTGCGTTCGCATGCGGCCACCCCCCATTTCGGCACACCCCTCACACGTTTCGTGGCCCCATAGGGAGCTCCACCGAAGGCCCCAGTGGCTGCGTTCGCATGCGGCCACCCCCCATTTCGGCACACCCCTCACACGTTTCGTGGCCCCATAGGGAGCTCCACCGAAGGCCCCAGTGGCTGCGTTCGCATGGCGGCGCCGCACCCATTTCGGCACACCCCTCACACGTTTCGTGGCCCCATAGGGAGCTCCACCGAAGGCCCCAGTGGCTGCGTTCGCATGGCGGCGCCGCACCCATTTCGGCACACCCCTCACACGTTTCGTGGCCCCATAGGGAGCTCCACCGAAGGCCCCAGTGGCTGCGCCCGCATGCGCCCCGCACCCATTTCGGCACACCCCTCACACGTTTCGTGGCCCCATAGGGAGCTCCACCGAAGGCCCCAGTGGCTGCGTTCGCATGCTCCCCACACCCATTTCGGCACACCCCTCACACGTTTCGTGGCCCCATAGGGAGCTCCACCGAAGGCCCCAGTGGCTGCGTTCGCATGGCGGCGCGCACCCATTTCGGCACACCCCTCACACGTTTCGTGGCCCCATAGGGAGCTCCACCGAAGGCCCCAGTGGCTGCGTTCGCATGGCGGCGCCGCACCCACTTCGGCACACCCCTCACACGTTTTGTGGCCCCATAGGGAGCTCCACCGAATGCCCCAGTGGCTGCGTTCGCATGGCGGCGCCGCACCCATTTCGGCACACCCCTCACACGTTTCGTGGCCCCATAGGGAGCTCCAACGAAGGCCCCAGTGGCTGCGTTCGCATGGCGGCGCCGCACCCATTTCGGCACACCCCTCACACGTTTCGTGGCCCCATAGGGAGCTCCGCCGAAGGCCCCAGTGGCTGCGTTCGCATGGCGGCGCCGCACACATTTCGGCACACCCCTCACACGCTTCGTGGCTCCATAGGGAGCTCCACCGAAGGCCCCAGTGGCTGCGTTCGCATGGCGGCGCCGCACCCATGTCGGCACACCCCTCACACGTTTCGTGGCCCCATAGGGAGCTCCACCGAAGGCCCCAGTGCTACCGCCCTCATGCGTCCCGTACGCCCAGGACAGCGTTTCGTGGCACGCCCTTCGTGGCCCCATAAGGAGCCCCACCGAAAGCGGCACCCACAAAGCGTTATTCACAATTGCATACCTATACGACCACCCTTCGGGTGATAAGGAGGTTCGGGGGGGGGGAGGAACCAACGTCTCACTCGATCGGTCTCACTATCGATCTCATTATCGATCTCAGTACCGGTCTCGCTCGATCGATCTCCCTCATCGTCATCATCGTCATCATCATCATCATGATCGTCATCATCATCGTCATCGTCATCATCGTCATGATCATCAACATAATTATCATGATCATCATCATCCTCATCATCGGGACACCATCAGCTTCATCATCATCATCATCATCATCATCGTCATCATCATCATCGACATCACCATCATCATCATCGGTACACCGTCATCATATCATCATCATCATCATCATCGTCCTCATAATCATCATCATCATCATCATCATTATCAGCATCACCATCCTCATCATCATCGTCATCATCATCATCAGCAGCATCATCATCATCAGCATCACCATCATCATCATCATCACCATCATCATGATCATGATCATCATCATCATCATCAGCATCAGCATCCTCATCTCATCATCATCATCATCATCATCATCATCAGCGTCATCATCATCATCATCATCATCATCATGCCGGGACACCGCGGGACACCGACGGGACACCGCGGGGCACCACGGGACACCGCGGGACACCGCGGGACACCGGCGGGACACCGGCGGGACACCGCGCGCCACCGGCCGCCCGGAAGAGACACATTTGGTCCTAAGGGAGTGCGCGGGCCGACCTTGGTGTCGCCGATTGTCGCGCAACTCCCGTTCGGTGTTATGGTTGTTTTTTTCCCATCGCCGATCTCGGTGGGTTTGCCGAATCATCTTGGTTGTGCTTGGGCTCATCGTTTCGGCCTTCTTAGGACGTCGAAAGCGATGGTCCTTGCCGTGCCCTTTCCGTCTGGTCGATCGCTACTGGCGGTGATACGTTTTGCGAGCTTGGGCGGGGTGCGCATCGGCGCGAATGCGCCCATGAGCATTTTTTGGCGGGCCACCGTGATGTGTGTCGCCACACGTCTTTTGTGTCATAGCATGGATACTGACCCCTTTGTCGTGGGCGCAACAAAAAACATCGCATTCATCGTCATGAACAATCAACAACAAGTGTTTGCCGAATCCGCCTACGAACCAGCACATATCTATATTGTTTTCTGGACACGTTCTTGGCGTTTCTCTGGCTATGCGTTTTAAACATAAGGATACTTGCAATCGGATCCTCGCCCCTGCGTTCCTTGAGAATGCGAGTCTTGTTACGCCCGAAACCGCAGTCGAGCAATTGCAAACGCCCGCCGTCTCGGCCAGGGATCCCAGAGCAGCTTCAACAGTGATGTCGTTCCGACA